AATTATACATAAATTTGATCAAGCCTCTAAATCTAGCTACCAATTTACATAAAATAGTGTTAAAAAACTAAGATTAACTCTACAGGACAAATGACCTAGTTTTTTTCAACCAAAAATAAAAGGAAAAAAGACCCAAATAAGAACTGTATAGATTAAAAAAGACTTGCGACTTAAGAGACATGCCACCCAGTTACAATGTATTGATTCTTCAAACTATAAAAAGAAGAATGAAAGTGTAAAAGAAGAAAAAGAAAACTTATAAAGCAATTGGGCAGGTATAGATACTAAAGTCAAGGATGCTGTGATAATACTAAACCAAGTAGGAATAGAAAAAAATTATCTGAACATAATACAGGCCATAAATGTAAAGCCACCCGCTAATGTCACAATAATGGAAAACTGAAGAATTTTTCTCCAAGTTTAGGAATAAGTCATGGATGCCCACTCACTACCTTCAGGAACATAGTGCTGGAAGTTCTAGCCAGAAAAATTAGGCAAGAATAAGTAATAAAAGACATCTGTATTGGAAAGGAGACAAAAGAAATTGGAAAGGAGACAAAAAATTATCTCTATTTAGGTTGACATGATCTTATATGAGGAAAACTATAAAAAAAAAATTGCTAAAAGTAAATTTAGCAAATTTACAAGATTAAAAAGCCAACACAAAAAAATCAAAAGCATTTCTATATATTAAGAATGAATAATCAGAAAAGAGAATAACAGTCCCATTTACAATAGCATCAAAAGTAAAATATTGATATTAACAAATGACTTAATTTTTAAAATTGTATTATAATTAGGTTTTTAAAGTCCCTTTCTTTTAGAAGTACATGTTAAAATATTTACATGTGAATATTTGGGCCTCCCCTGGTGGCGCAGTGGTTGAGCGCTGGGCTGTGAAGCTGCCCGCAGCCTCTGCAGCGCCGGTTCGATCCCCGGCCACTGGTAAGGGTCCCACATGGTGCGCAGACCTCTCCTGTTGTGCCCACTGCTCCCCTCAGCAGTGTATTTCATCACTCTGCCTGTTCTGTTCCCCGCTCTGGCTCTGGTGAGTCCTCTCACCCTCCCGCGCTTCTGACTGTACCCAGTGCTTGTATAAATAAATAAATAAATCTTTAAAAAAAAAAAAAAAAAGAAATATTCATTGTTTAAGATTTGCTTCAGAATGAACTGAATAACCAGGGGAGATGGATTTGACTGTAAATGAAACAAGACTGACCAAGTTGATAATGAATAATGGGGTAATGGACACTATAAATGGCCAAACCTAATCTTCACTGGCATCCCAGAAAGTCAAACTCTGAAGCACAAGAATGTCTTCACACAAAGGAATTTATTATACAAGATCACCACTGAGGTAGTGGTCAGGGCTAATACCCTAAAAGAAGCAGCTTCCCTGAATGGCTGGGGTTCTGTGATTTAATAAGTTTAACCCCAAAATTAAAATAATAAAGAAATAAATGGAGCAGAGAGAGGAATGTAAGGAGGTTTGGGGACATGAAAGGAGTGTGGGTCTTCATTCAACCTCTTTAGTAGCTTTCTATTGAGGTTAACAGCCCCATAAAGACCAGCAGTGCCCTGGTGTTACCTACCAATTTTGGACTGGCACAGAGAATTTTGCTAGAGATGGAACAAGCTTCTGGGGAATGCAGATGGAGAATAAATCACATGGGTGGGAGTGGTGAAGAAGAGGGGAAAACAAAAGTGTGTAATTTTGCTTAGTTTCACTTTTCTAACAAAAAGTTTAACTACAGCTTGGAGGGGATCCTGCTTCGTACCATGGGCTTCATTAAATTATTTTTCTATATTTGAAATATTCTGTAATAAAAAGAAAGAAATGATGGAATAAGGGTTAGTCCTACAAATTATAATTGAGAAAACAGGATATCTCCACACTTTTCTGGTTTTTAATCAAGCATTGTTTGTTATTAATGTTTCCTTAAAAATGGACACAGCTGTATATTTAGACCTATATTCTATGTCACTACCTTGACCAATATAAAAAAATTAAGTCGATTTCCATTCCCCTATTACCTACAATAGATGAGTTTTTTACTACTTCAAGTAAATTTTGGATGAAAATAATGCTACTTCACGGCCAAGGCTAAGTCATGAAAGCAATACAACTGGTCCTACTTCTCTCTCTAAGGATATTCATTTCTTTGATCTCAGTCATCAAGCTATGAGGAAGGTCAGACAACAAATGTGGCATGTGTAGGTTTTCTGGCCATTAGTCTCAACTAAGGTCTCAACCAATAACTAACCTCAACTGTGATGTGAATGAAACAACCTCCAGATGATTCCAGTCCCCAACCTTTTGAGTCTTCCAACTAAGGTCCCCATATCAGGGGACAGAGACAACCGTCCCCACTCTACAATGGTCAAATTTCTAACCCACAGAACCCTTCTCATCAAAAATAGTTTTTTAATGACACTAAGTTTCAGGGTAATTTGTCATACAGTCACAGTAACTGGATGAAGGATATTTGTATTTAGAATTAGGTCTTCATTCACCCGAAGCAAAATGCTAAAAAAACCTGTTTGCCATGAATTCATATCTCTTGACCTAATCCAGTTCCATCCCTGGGAACTGAGAGAATTTATAAATGATGTCACTGCCAACTTGGCAATGATTTTAAATAACTGAAGGGACAGAAAAGTCCCCATAAGGCCTGGAGGCTGTCAATTCTGGAAATCATATGTAGTGCTGGTGATGAGTAAGATTCCCCATCATATTTTCAAAATGTTTTGTTCATGAATATCCCATAAAATGAAACAGTGCTATTTGTCAAGCAGCATGAATTCACTAAGAACAATTTGTATTAAGCAAGCTCTATTTACAGGGTTGCTAGACTAAGAAATCTGAAAAAATGTGATAGAGATGATAGTCTCATATTTTATCCATTGTAAGCCATCGCCAATTCTAAGTTATACATTTTTAAAATGCCAGTTATATAATTTTGTGATACATGCACTATCAAAATATAAAGTGTTTTCAAAATCTGCAAAGAGCTGATGAGACTCAGCAACAACAAAGAAAATAATCCAGTCAAAAAATGGGCAGAAGAGCTAAAAAGAAACTTCTCTGAAGAGGAAATGCAAATGGCCAACAGACATATGAAAAAATGTTCAACATCACTTGTAATCAGGGAAATGCAAATCAAAACTACCATGAGATACCATCTCACACCAGTGAGAATGGCACATATTAAAAAAACTAGCAACAACAAATGTTGGCGAGGATGTGGAGAAAAAGGAACTCTTGTGCACTGTTGGTGGGAGTGCAAACTGGTCCAACCACTATGGAGAGCTGTGTGGAGATTTCTGGACCTACTAAACATAGAGCTTCCATATGATCCAGCAATTCCACTCCTAGGTATTTACCCAAAGGACACAGAAACATCAATTCCAAAGAGCACCTGCACTCCTATGTTTATAGCAGCACTGTTTACAATAGCTAAGCTTTGGAAACAACCCAAATGCCCAAAAATAGATGACTGGATCAAGAAGATGTGGTACATATATACCATGGAATATTACTCAGCATTCAAAAAAGATAAACACATGCAATTTGCAGCAACATGGATGGCACTGGAAGGGATCATGCTCAGCGAAATAAGCCAAAAAGAAAAAGAAAAATACCGGATGGTCTCACTCATAGCAGGAATCTAGAAAACTTAAATAAGGGACCAGGAAAATGAATATAAGAAAGTGAAAATCAAAATCAACAAAAAACTATGAACCAGAGACACTTTTTGGGGGGTGGGGGGCGGGAGGGGAAGGATTGGGGTCAGAATGGGGCGTTTGCAATTGTATGGGGGAATATAAAAATAAAATTTAATATTTAAAAAAAAAAAATATAAAGTGTTTTCTTATTACTTAGAATTTTCATTTTATTCTTACTAAAAGTGCTGTTTTAGATGTTTTAGACATATTTCCATTATATGTCAGTCTTTGGTTACATAAAAATGTAAATATACATTTTCTGTGAGCTATGTATGCATTGTTGTGTAATAAATCTTTAGAACTTTATCTTGCCAATCTAAAACTCTACTCACTGAACAACAACCCCTATTCTCCCACTATCCTCCCCCAGCAACATTCTACTTTGTTTATAAAAGTTTGATTACTTAAGAGACCTCATATAAGTGTATTCATGAAGAATTTGTCTTTTTGTGACAGGCTTATTTCACTTACTATGGAGCAAAAATTTTTGAATCAATGACATACCGTTATTTTGCATCCCTGTTTGTTTGCTCACAATATAGAGTGGGTCACCTTAGTTTTCCCACTACCAAAGCACCCATAGTCCTCCACCATAGACCATTATGCTCTCCTTCCTCCTTTTTTCTTCAAACTTCTCTCTTTTCCCCCTCCCTCTTCCTAGATGCCTCAGATCTATGGTCAACTTTCAAGGGCCTTTTAAAGTTTGTATTTGCCTGGCCCTTTGTTTGGTTTCTGTCTATTCCACATATAAGTAAAACCATCCAGTATTTATCTTTCTCTTTTTGGTTCACTTCACTTAGTATAGTTGCTTCGAGTTCCATCCATGTTACCATAAATGGCATGAGTTTACCTTGTTTGATTGCTGAGTAGTATTTCATTGTATGTATATACTACATCTTCTTGATTCACTTGTCTGTGGTAGTCATATGTGGCAGTAAAGTACCAAACAAACAGATGAACTAAATAAACTTTTAGATGATAAGACCAAATTAGTGGTTGCCAGTATGAAAGGGGAAATAGGGGTAAATCAAGGAAAATGGGTAACTGTAGTAGCATAGAAGATACACATCTTGAATCTCAATGATGCATATAATAATACTACAGTGTAATGATGCATGTACATTATAGTGCAATTATAGTTCAATAAAATTAAAATAATTTTTTAAAATAATTTTTTGGCTGAGATAATTAACTAAACATCCCTTTACATTATACATAGAATAACTGTGAGACAAATGGATTTACTGAGTGTTTCTTTTCCTTTGGGGCTTTAGGCATTAGGATTTTTGTCTTCTTATGGAATAGGGATGGAATATAATCAAGCAAAGGTAAGGTCATTCATTTTTTTCTAGACCAAAACTGAACTATTAACAAGGAACACCAAATAGCGAATTTAGTCTTTAGATAAAGGGGGTCACTCCAATGTGGTGTTTAGAGCAATAGCTCAATAGCTATAGAAGTTTAGAGATAAAATACTATAAATTCCTTAACACATCACTTCTGGTCCTTCACTATAGAAAGAAAATATCTGCCTCTTAAGGACTGTGTGATGATTAAATGAAATATCATCAATAATGCCCTTTTCATAGCCTCCAGGGCTCACTAATCTTTCTCCCAGATGGCAACCATCTTTACAGAGAAAAAGAAGGAAATTTGGAATTTGTTTTGGAGTAATTTAAGGTTCATTGCCTAACTAGGGACTAAAAAGCAGTGATTCATTTGAGTTTCAAATTTAGATGACTAATATAATTTCTTTTCTACTCTAGGCACTGATATATTATACCTTTGGAAGTGCAGGGGGAAGCATGATATCCCAGATGATTTTGGTTTGTAAATTAAATACTCCTGGACCCAAATAGGTATGTTATAAATACAGCATTGTCAGATATTAATAATATATATTCCTATGTTTTAGGGGTACAGATATTTGTCAGGAATCAATGTTCTACAGAATTGTGAAGTTGCCCTAAATCATTACAAGACAGTGGCAGATTATAGTAAGTAATCCTCATAATTTAAGATAAACAGACTTGCAAAGCAATTAAAAATGTAAATAATTCCATTTAACATATTTATGAAAGTATTAAAAGACTATGCTTTAACATCTGTTATAATAAAAATCTTTTATTATAATACAAAGTTTCTGGATTTTAATGGTTTCTTAGTTTCAAATGATTGTAATCATCTTTAATTTTTGTTGTAATATGTTCCCAAACAATTCTGTTTTACTTGTTCATGTGATATTCTTCCCTTACACTGAAAATCTGAATTTAACATCAATAAATATTAAAGTTTCCCTAATCCTAATGTTCAGAATATGAGACAACTTGTTTAAAAGTTCTAAAGAAATGGAAGGTACACACATTGTCTCTATCACTGCACTTGAGAACAGGTTAAGAAGTCATTGTTATCATATCCCTAGTCTATAAAAAATAAAGCATGAAATAAATGTGTTTCTAGGATTATTTTCAAAGTTGTATGTAACATTCCCTCTTGTAAAAACACTGAACTAGAGTTTTAAATGAAAGTTTTTCAATAAGTGGATAACTTTATCCACTTACAACTTTATCCATTCAGCTATTGTCTATATTCAGAATTAACAACAAAATAGGGCCTCCTTTGGTGGCACAGGTGGTTGAGTGCAGCCCTGTGAAGCTGTTTGCAGCCTCTGCAGTGCTGGTTCAATCCCAGCTGGCCGGCACACCTCTTCTGTCTCGCCTGCTGCTCCCCTCAGTAGTGTATTTTGTCAATCTGCCTGTTCTGTTCCCCGCTCTGTCTGTGGTGAATCCTCTCACCCTCCTGTGCATCTGGCCTGTACCCCAGTTCTTGTATAAATATATAACTAAATCTTTAAAAAAATACATACTTTTGGCATTATTAGAATATGAGAGAAGAATGAGGAAAAAAACTTGTATTTATTATATATATTAAACTTTTGAATTTATTATCTATATAAATATTATATATATATAAAACAAGATCATTTCATATGTATAATGAAACTGGAATTAGAATGTGGTTAAAACTGCATACTCTATTAGGTTTATTCAAGCATATTTATCCTTAACGTTTATTTTTAGTCTATCCGTAGGGAGTAATTAAGGATCAGGTTTGCTCATATGATAGTTTCATTCCTGGAAAAAAGTCAGTGGTAGAGGAGGAGGCTGGTTGCCTGCTCCTAAAGTCTGTCTCTTTTTTTGAGCTTGCTTGGTCGAAATCTCCAGGAGGGTCTGATATATATTGGTACAATATTTATGTGGATTGCAAATAATTTGGTTTCTTGCATTTCTCAGAACCAAATAAAAAAAAATCAGCAAATTTCTGATATCCTAAAGATATTTCCTTTCTTAATAGACCAGATTTCTGCACAACTGAAGGAAACTAGGCCTAATAGTCCTTTGCCTACATGACTGTTAGCTCTTGCAACCTTGTACATTCTGACTATTCTGTGGCTTGTTTCTCTTCACAGTTGCTGACAAATTAGAAAAAAGTGAAGGTATTCCAGTGGAAAAAGTAAGACTAACTGAAAGACCTGAAAATCTGAGCTCTAACAATGAAATTTTGGATTGGGACATATACCAGTACTATAAATTTTTGGCAGAAAGAGGAGATGTTCAGATACAAGTATGTATACAGACAAATTTAAATGTTTAAAACATGCACTATATAAGGGATTTGGTTCTGAGCCCCAGAAATAATGCCCCATCTTAAATGATAAAGGGAAGAGACATCCCCTTCTCTTTGTACTACTCTTTTTTTTGTTTGTTTCCTGCATTTGCAGTTCTTGTGGCTTATGGAAGAGGCAGTTGCCATAGTAATGGCAAATTATTTTTGCATTTACTACATAAAATTTCATTTTAAGAAACCTATATTTTAATTATAGAAAAAATGTAACATTCAACATTGGCTTTAATATGAATGAGTTCTAACCAGGTTCCAGAAGTATTCTATTTTTGAGACTGTGAATGAGACATTTGTATAACCTTTGAGAGCCAAGAGTTAAGCCCTGGGGTTTATGTGCCCAGGTGTTGCTGTACACCAGCAGACGATCATCCTGACATTGAGAAGTCCATATGCCCAGAATCAACCAATTACCCATTGAAAGACATAGTCTGGAAGATTTTTCTACTTCTTTTTTAAGATATGCCAACCACATTAAACTGGCTCAACATACTATATTAAAATCACCAAGTAAAGTTTTCTTTGTCTTTCTTCTTTCTTTTTTAACTGATTTATTTTTAATTGAGATATTTTGAGGTCCCCATCAGGTAATACCACCTAGTGCACCCACCACCAAATCACCCATACTCCATCACCATAGTCCATTGTACTTTCTTCCTTCTTTGTTCTTACGCCTCCCCCCAAACCCTTCCCCCCTTGGTGTCACATTTCTGTAGTCAGCTATCGAGGGTTAGTTTTTAAGCTTGTCAGCTTGTCTTTATCTGATCTTAGTTTAGTTCTCTATATTCCACATATTAGTGACACCATTCAATATTTGTCTTTCTATTTCTGACTAATTTCACTTAGCATTATCCCTTCAAGCTCCATACAAGGTGATATAAATGTCATTTTCTGATTATTGAGTAATAATATTCCTGTGTGTGTTTGTGTGTGTGTGTGTGTGTGTGTATACACTGCATCTTCTTATAATCAGCTCTTTGGGGGCATTTAAGTTGTTTCCATAATTAACCTATAGTAAATAGCACTGTAATAAACATGGGAGTGGAACTTTCCTTTCAAATAAGTGTTTTTTTCAGTTTTTAGGGGTAGATGCCTAGGAGTGGAATTACTGGGTCAAAGATCAATGTTTAACATTTTGAGATGCCTCCCTTCTGCCTTCCATAAGGGCTAGAGCAGTTTGCATTCCCACCAGCAGTGTAGAAGGGTTACAATGTCTCCACATCCTCGCCAGCACTTGTTGGGTCTGGCCTTTTCAATATGGGCCATTCTCAGAGGTGTGAGATGGTATCTCATTGTGGTCTTGAATTGCATTTCCATGTGCCTACTGGCAATTGGAGTGTCTTCTTTGGAGAAGTATTTGTTTAGTTCTTCTACCCACTTTTTGATTTTTTTGGTTTTGTAGAGTCTTTTGAGTTCTTTATATTTTTTTTATTCATCCTTTTTCAGATGTATGGCATACAGATATTTTTTCCTATTCAGTAAGGTATATTTTCTTTTTAGTTATGGTTTCTTTTGCTGTACAGAAGCTTTTATAGTTTGATGTAGTCCTGGTTGTTTATGTTCTCTTTTGCTTACCTTGCTATTGGGGATGGCACCAAGAAAATTTAAGTCATGAAATGTTTTTGCATATGTTTTTTTCTATGTATTTTATCATTTCAGGTTTTATAACCAAGACTTTTATCCATTTTGAATTGATTTTTGTGTATGATATAAGATAGTAGTTTAGTTTCATCCTTCCTGAGTTGTACTATTCCCTTGAGGACTCATGTTGCCATTTGTTGGGTCATTCCTTATTCACATTATTAGCTTTGGGACCCAGCTGCTCTATGTGAGGCTTCTAGTCATGGCTCCTCCCCCTTCATTGGTTAAGGGTCTCCTCTGTCTAGGCAGCTGCTAGAGTCTCACTGGAGGTCAAGAGGACTCTGGCTGCTCTGGCACCCTCCCCAGTACAGGTCCAGGGTCTCACTAGTGGGAGGGGGGTCCTCTCTTTTCTTAATTTGAGTTAATACTACTGTTAAAGTCATTTTCAAAACTAATCATTTCTAGGTATCTCTTGGACAATTACATCTAATTGGGAGGAAAGGCCTTGATCAAGATTACTACGTGAGTCAATCCAGATTTGCTCATGTGGGGTGGGGAGAAAAATGGTGAAGAGAGGCTGATGAACATGTAAAAGGGGATAGGGTTTGTGGAAGAGTTGCTGAGGGAAGCTCACTACTGCTTTCTTAGTCACATTTGCTTCTGAGCTTTTGAGGAGGAACAAAGTTCACCAGATGGAGCATTTTTAAAGGGGATACTCCTGAAGAAACAGTTGGTAGAGGGAAGTTTCCATGGTCCCATTTAACCAAACCTCTTTCCACTGCAACTTACTGTTTGAATAAAATTAGATGAGAAACATAGCCCCACCTGCTGGGACATACCCATTCCCCAAAGGTCAGCTGTGGAAAATCCAACTGGGACTTTCCTGCTAGAAACATGAGCACCAGCCTCAGCCCCATTTGGCTAAATCATAAGATAGGCTGCTTTCAATATAATTAGAAGTATGATTAAGCATTTTTATAAATTTGCAAAACTCCTTTCAATGACTTTGCTTAACTTACCTTATCCCAGTGTGGTTAGAAGATTAATTAACAATTCAAACTTATAGTGGAGAAAAAGCAAATAAACTTGACCTACACAGGATCCTCCTCAGTAAGATGCTAGAGCCCTGGATATGGTCTTGTCTAAATTTGATTGTGGTTTCAAAACCCTGTGTCTCTAGAGATCCGGTGAAGTAACTGGAAATCTTTTTAAGAGGTATTTTGCAGCCCTTGTCATTTTATAGGAACCATGTGCTATTTCTCTCAAACCCTACTTCACATACCCTAATTCAACATAGTCCTCATGGACTATGCAATAAAAATAACTACTATACAATGGCTACATAAAAAAGTGATCTATTACTACTTTCTGTTTCCATTTCCACTGTTATTTTATAAATGTGTCTTTGGTACTGTAGTTTGTATTTTATATGAGGTATAGTAAACAATCAAATTTAGCAAAGGTAATAAAATGTGATAAAATAAGCAGCACTTGAAATAAGCCTAGGCTTCCAAGACAGATCAATTGAAGGTCTTCAGATTATTTTCTATCCTCATCAAAACTAAGATTTTAGCTTCTCAGGAAGGTGGTGGATTTATAATATTACTCAAATGTCAGATTTTAGCCTGTGGTGGACTGCTCTACCAACCATAGGATGCATAACTGAGATGAATTCCCCATTTCCACAAATTTTATTGTGAAGGCACCCAAAGTTCAGCTATCAGGAATATCCAGTAATCTTAGTAGGGCACATAAAACCCCACAGACTTAAGTACTACTGGTCAGTTCTAGCTACCGTGGATACCTGATGGGAGCTGTAACTGCCTCCAGGTGAAGATGAATGCAATCCCAAGGCCACCACTGATGGACTCTGGTGCTTTATTAGCAACAATTTATCATTTGGGAATGCGCAGGACTCTTAGTCAGGGTTCCCTGTAAACTCATTCACAGAGGTTTTATTATCTCTGTTTTACAAATGAGAAGCTGAGGCTAAGAGATGAATTAACTTGCTTCAAGTCTTATAGCGATGAAAAAGCTATATTAAAAATATAGCCTTTAAGGGCCTCCCTGGTGGCGCAAGGGTTAAGATGCAACCTATGAAGCAATCCGCGGCCACTGCAGCAGGAGTTCAATTCCCGGCCAGCCAGGGAGCAACCCACATGGCGCAGTAGACCTCTCCTGACTCACCCGCTGCTCCCTCAGCAGTGTATTTCAGTCATTCTGCCTGTTCTGCTCCCCACTCTGTCTCTGGTGAATCCTCTCACCCCACACCTCTGGCCAGCTCTTGTATACATAAATAAATTTTAAAATATAGCCTTTAAAATTAATTAATTAAATTTCTTTCTTACATCATTGTAGTCCCCATAGATCTCCCGCCACCATATCATCTGTGACCCATCACCGTGTTCCCTTGTGTTTAATCCTTCCCTTGTTTTACTTCCTTTCCTTCCCCCTCCTTTGCTGTATGGCTTAATTCTATGGTCAGTTTGCTAGTTTTGACTTTTTTCTTGACCTTTTGTTTAGTTTCTCTATATTCCACATGTAAGTAAGGCCATCAGTATTTATCTTATTAACTGACTCATTTCAGCCAGCATAATTCACTCCAGTTCCACCTATGTTACTGCAAAATGGTATGAGTTTGTCTTTTTGATTATTGATTAATATTCCATTGTATTAATATACCACAACTTTTTGATCCATTTGTCTATTTGGAGGCATTTGGGTTGTTTCCATATCTTGGCTATTGTAAATAGTTCCGGAATAAACATAGTTTGTTCCAGTGCAGGTTTCCTTTCAAATTAATGTTTTTGTGTCCTTTGGGTAGATTCCTAGGAGTGGAATCACTGGGTCATATGGTAGATCCATTTTAGTGTTCTGAGAAACCGCACAGTTTTCTATAGTAGCTGGACCAATTTACATTCCCATCAGTAGTGTAAGAGGGTTCATTTATCTCCACAACCTCTCCAGCATTTGTTGTCAAGTTTTTTTAATGTGGACCATTATTACTGGAGTTAGTGGTATCTCATTTTGGTTTTAATCTGCATTTCCTTGATAACTAGTGATGTTGAATAAGGCTTTTAGAATTTGAACACAGGGTTTCAGCATTCAAAACCTGTGTTTTTTCCATTAAACTTACTTGCTTTTGACCTGAGTCAAAAAAATACAACTTCCAAAATCTACTTTCCTTTCTTATAAAACAAGAAGGACTAACGTAATATACCAGTTTGCTTCAGCTGTAATTTTCTGCTGATGAGTTTAGCCCCATGCTTCCCATCCAGATATCCAAAAAGGCTGATTTAATTCCTGAACTGTCCCAGTATTTCAGGTACATTCTGGAGCAAACCCAGGGTGGTCATTTCTGCTTTATTTTGCCTGAAAATCTAGGACTTGCATGGAGGGTTTCAGTCAAGATCTCAAACTTGCAGATTGATTGACTAATGTATCAGTTAGTTCAGGTTGCAACACAAACCATTCCCAGAATTTGGCTTTAAAACAACCACCATTTCTTTAATTCATGATTTTAGGAGATCAACAGTTTGGACTGGGTTCAGCTAAGTAATTCTGCTCTGGATCAAGTTAATCTTGATTTTTGCTGGGTTTGCACATGCATCTGTAGTTAGTGAAGCGTATTGACAAGAGCTGACTGGTTTATGATGGCTTAATCTGTGACAACTAGGACAACTGGGTTGCACCACATGCTCTCATCCTCTAGCCAACTATTCCAAGATTTTCATGTGGCACCCAAAGATTCTAAGAATACCAGAAAACTCACTACTCTTGAGGCCTAGGTTCAGAACTCACAAATTACTTCTGCCACATTCTTTTGGTCAAAATAGGTCATAAAGGGCATCCCTGGTGGTGCAGGCAGTTGAGCGCAGCGCTGTGAAGCTGTCCACAGCCTCTGCAGTGCGGGTTCAATCCCTGCCGGCCAGGAAGATACCCACATGGCATGGCAGACCTCTCCTGTTTCGCCCACTGCTCCCCTCACCAGTGCATTTCAGTCTGCCTGCCTGTTCTGTTCTCCACTCTGTCTCTAGTAAATCCTCTCAGCCTCCCGTGCATCTAGCTTGTACCATGGTTCTTGTATGCATGAATAAATAAATCTTTTTTTTTTTTTTTTAAAAAAAAGGTCATGAAGTCAGCCAGCCTTTCAGGGGTAGGAAAAAAGCACATCTTGCCTAGGCAGAACTGCAAAGTGTGTGGTCGTTTTTGTAACTTACCATACCTAGTTGTACCAGAATCAACTTGGAGTGGTACGGAGATACAAACGAGAGAGAGAAGATAGGAGGATAAAACCGATTTCTGAAAGACTCTTACTACAGCTCTTCCTATGGCTAGCTTCTCATCCTTCACGTTTCACCTTCTCAGAGAGGATTTTCTTGATCTGCTCCTCTTTCATCACTTTTATGCTGTGTTTATTTCCTCTAACCTGAGTCACTCCTGCACAATATAATATATTGCTTACTGTCTATCTCCCCCAATAGAATGTATGTTCTTATCTATCTTGCTCACTACTCAGATTAGTACCTGGAACATATTAGGTACTAATTGATGATAGCATCCTGAACATATACATTGCACCTCACTCTAAGACCCACCACTTGAGTTACTATACTAATGCCTCATTCCTTCAAAGAAAATTACTAGGGTAGTCTCTTTAAAAATGTGATTCCCCATGTATTGCCCAGCAAATTAATTATCAAAATACTTAGAAATAACTACCTTGGCTTTTTTTTCTCTCTTCTTACTGAATTAATCTCTCCCATGAATTGAAACCACAGGCAACATTTTCACCTCACTCTCCTCTCACCAAATTCTTACTTACTAAAAAGTATTGCATATGCAATTCCTGATTACATTATCCTTAATTTCTGTATGTATATTTAAGTGTCATTTTGCATTTCTAAATATATAAAGTCTCAGAATGAATTGGATTAGGAAAACTGGGTGTTTTATGGCATATTATTAAAATGGATAAGGCACGATTTAATTAGACCTAGTGGAGGGATAATATCAAATATGTAAGGGCAACTACTTTGTCTACCCTGCCATGTGTTAAAAAGAAAAGAACTAATATCATTCCTTTTCAGGATGATTTACAGAGCCTGGGGTAAACAAAGTTAAATGTGTTAGAACAATGCATTTTCTTGGCATTTCATTCTAGGAGAACTGTTACAAACTGATTAAACTAAGGATTTTCTTAGACCCAATGAAAAATCATGCTCATTTTTTTAAAAAGATGTGCATTCAAATAATATAACTCACTTCACATAATGCTTGGGACATAGTATATTTATCTATCTAAAACACAATCAATTTTAAGAGACATTATTTTATGCTATAGTGAGAAAGAAACAATACTACCAGTATATATTACATGATGCTATTGATGGTAAGAAATGTTCTCATTAGAATGGGAGATGGGGAAATGTACATTGTAATTAGTAAAATATGATGGTAGCTACTCAGTAAATATTTGTAGGATGAATGAATGATGTCTTAGTCTGTTTGAACTGCTATCACAAAAATACTATATACTGGGTAGCTTATAAACAATAGAAAATTCTCATA